TACTTCCCTGCACATCATTAGGTTGATCAAACCCCTGTTTGTTTTCTAGAGGGCGTTTTTGGCAAATTTTGGCAAATGATGAAAATCTTGACATTTTGGCCAATATTGCAAGGGATTAGCTCATCGTTTTTGCAAATAATTTGAACATTTTGCATTATTGTTTATTTGGTCTCAATAAACTTCCCTGCACATCATTAGGTTGATCGAACCCCTGTTTGTTTTCTAGAGGGGCGTTTTGGGCAAATTTTGGCAAATGATGAAAATCCTGAAGTTTTGGCAAGGGGTAAGCTCATCGTTTTTGCAAATAATTTGAACATTTTTCATTACTTTTTATTTGGTCTCAATGAACTTCTCTGCACATCATTAGGTTGATCAAACCCCTGTTTGTTTTCTAGAGGGGCATTTTGGCAAATTTTGAAAATCCTCACATTTTGGCCAAAATGACAAGGGGTTAGCTCACCATTTTTGCAAATAATTTGAACATTTTGCATTATTGTTTATTTGGTCTCAATGTACTTCCCTGCACATCATTAGGTTGATCAAACCCCTGTTTGTTTTCTAGAGGGCATTTTGGCAAATTTTGAAAATCCTCACATTTTGGCCAAAATGACAAGGGGTTAGCTCACCATTTTTGCAAACAATTTAAACATTTTCATTTTTTTTTATTTGGTCTCAATGTACTTCCCTGCACATCATTAGGTTGATCAAACCCCTGTTTGTTTTCTAGAGGGGCGTTTTGGGCAAATTTTGGCAAATGATGAAAATCCTGACTTTTTGGCCAAAATGGCAAGGGGTTAGCTCATCATTTTTGCAAATAATTTGAACATTTTTATTATTGTTTATTTGGTCTCAATGAACTTCCCTGGACATCATTAGCTTGATCAAACCCCTGTTTGTTTTCTAGAGGGGCGTTTTGGGCAAATTTTGGCAAATGATGAAAATCCTCCAGTTTTTTTTGCCAATATTGGCAAGGGGTTAGCTTATCGTTTTTGCAAATAATTTGAACATTTTGCATTATTGTTTATTTGGTCTCAATGAACTTCTCTGCACATCATTAGGTTGATCAAACCCCTGTTTGTTTTCTAGAGGGGCATTTTGGCAAATTTTGAAAATCCTCACATTTTTGCCAAAATGACAAGGGGTAATAGGTCACCGTTTTTTGCAAATGATTAAAAAAAAAAAATTATTGTTTATTTGGTCCCAGTGATCTTCCCTGCACGTCATTAGGTTGATCAAACCCCTGTTTGTTTTCTAGAGGGCCGTTTTGGGCAAATTTTGGCAAATGATGAAAATCCTGACTTTTTGGCCAAAATGGCAAGGGGTTAGCTCATCATTTTTGCAAATAATTAGAACATTTTTCATTATTTTTTATTTGGTCTCAATGAACTTCTCTGCACATCAATATGTTGATCAAACCCCTGTTTTTCTAGAGGGCATTTTGGCAAATTTTGAAAATCCTCACATTTTGGCCAAAATGACAAGGGGTTAGCTCACCATTTTTGCAAATAATTTGAACATTTTTCATTATTTTTTATTTGGTCTCAAAACTCTCAATGTACTTCCCTGCACATCATTAGGTTGATCAAACCCCTGTTTGTTTTCTAGAGGGCGTTTTTGGCAAATTTTGGCAAATGATGAAAATCTTGACATTTTGGCCAATATTGCAAGGGGTTAGCTCATCGTTTTTGCAAATAATTTGAACATTTTGCAGTATTGTTTATTTGGTCTCAATGAACTTCTCTGCACATCAATAGGTTGATCGAACCCCTGTTTGTTTTTTAGAAGGGCATTTTGGCAAATGATGAAAATCCTGACTTTTTGGCCAAAATGACAAAGGGTTAGCTCACTGTTTTTGCAAATAATTAGAACATTTTCATTATTGTTTATTTGGTCTCAATAAACTTCTCTGCACATCATTAGGTTGATCAAACCCCTGTTTGTTTTCTAGAGGGCGTTTTTGGCAAATTTTGGCAAATTTTGGCAAATTTTGGCAAATGATGAAAATCTTGACATTTTGGCCAATATTGCAAGGGGTTAGCTCATCGTTTTTGCAAATAATTTGAACATTTTTCATTATTTTTTATTTGGTCTCAATGAACTTCTCTGCACATCATTAGGTTGATCAAACCCCTGTTTGTTTTCTAGAGGGGCATTTTGGCAAATTTTGAAAATCCTCACATTTTGGCCAAAATGACAAGGGGTAATAGGTCACCGTTTTTTGCAAATGATTAAAAAAAAATTAATTATTGTTTATTTGGTCTCAGTGATCTTCCCTGCACGTCATTAGGTTGATCAAACCCCTGTTTGTTTTCTAGAGGGGCGTTTTGGGCAAATTTTGGCAAATGATGAAAATCCTGACTTTTTGGCCAAAATGGCAAGGGGTTAGCTTATCGTTTTTGCAAATAATTTGAACATTTTGCATTATTGTTTATTTGGTCTCAATGAACTTCTCTGCACATCATTAGGTTGATCAAACCCCTGTTTGTTTTCTAGAAGGGCATTTTGGCAAATGATGAAAATCCTGACTTTTTGGCCAAAATGACAAGGGGTTAGCTCACCATTTTTGCAAATAATTTGAACATTTTTCATTATTTTTTATTTGGTCTCAATAAACTTCCCTGCACATCATTAGGTTGATCGAACCCCTGTTTGTTTTCTAGAGGGGCGTTTTGGGCAAATTTTGGCAAATGATGAAAATCCTGAAGTTTTGGCCAATATTGGCAAGGGGTTAGCTCACCATTTTTGCAAATAATTTGAACATTTTGCATTATTGTTTATTTGGTCTCAATGAACTTCTCTGCACATCAATAGGTTGATCGAACCCCTGTTTGTTTTTTAGAAGGGCATTTTGGCAAATGATGAAAATCCTGACTTTTTGGCCAAAATGACAAGGGGTTAGCTCACTGTTTTTGCAAATAATTAGAACATTTTCATTATTGTTTATTTGGTCTCAATAAACTTCTCTGCACATCATTAGGTTGATCAAACCCCTGTTTGTTTTCTAGAGGGCGTTTTTGGCAAATTTTGGCAAATTTTGGCAAATTTTGGCAAATGATGAAAATCTTGACATTTTGGCCAATATTGCAAGGGGTTAGCTCATCGTTTTTGCAAATAATTTGAACATTTTGCATTATTGTTTATTTGGTCTCAATGAACTTCCCTGCACATCATTAGGTTGATCGAACCCCTGTTTGTTTTCTAGAGGGGCGTTTTGGGCAAATTTTGGCAAATGATGAAAATCCTGACTTTTTGGCCAAAATGGCAAGGGGTTAGCTTATCGTTTTTGCAAATAATTTGAACATTTTGCATTATTGTTTATTTGGTCTCAATGAACTTCTCTGCACATCATTAGGTTGATCAAACCCGTTTGTTTTCTAGAGGGGCGTTTTGGGCAAATTTTGGCAAATGATGAAAATCCTGAAGTTTTGGCCAATATTGGCAAGGGGTTAGCTTATCGTTTTTGCAAATAATTAGAACATTTTCATTATTGTTTATTTGGTCTCAATAAACTTCTCTGCACATCATTAGGTTGATCAAACCCCTGTTTGTTTTCTAGAGGGCGTTTTTGGCAAATTTTGGCAAATTTTGGCAAATTTTGGCAAATGATGATAATCTTGACATTTTGGCCAATATTGCAAGGGGTTAGCTCATCGTTTTTGCAAATAATTTGAACATTTTGCATTATTGTTTATTTGGTCTCAATGAACTTCCCTGCACATCATTAGCTTGATCAAACCCCCTACTTGTTTTCTAGAGGGGCGTTTTGGGCAAATTTTGGCAAATGATGAAAATCCTGAAGTTTTGGCAAGGGGTTAGTTCATCGTTTTTGCAAATAATTTGAACATTTTTCATTATTTTTTATTTGGTCTCAATGAACTTCTCTGCACATCATTAGGTTGATCAAACCCCTGTTTGTTTTCTAGAGGGGCATTTTGGCAAATTTTGAAAATCCTCACATTTTGGCCAAAATGACAAGGGGTAATAGGTCACCGTTTTTTGCAAATGATTAAAAAAAAATTAATTATTGTTTATTTGGTCTCAGTGATCTTCCCTGCACGTCATTAGGTTGATCAAACCCCTGTTTGTTTTCTAGAGGGGCGTTTTGGGCAAATTTTGGCAAATGATGAAAATCCTGACTTTTTGGCCAAAATGGCAAGGGGTTAGCTTATCGTTTTTGCAAATAATTTGAACATTTTGCATTATTGTTTATTTGGTCTCAATGAACTTCTCTGCACATCATTAGGTTGATCAAACCCCTGTTTGTTTTCTAGAGGGGCGTTTTGGGCAAATTTTGGCAAATGATGAAAATCCTGAAGTTTTGGCCAATATTGGCAAGGGGTTAGCTTATCGTTTTTGCAAATAATTTGAACATTTTCATTATTTTTTATTTGGTCTCAATGAACTTCTCTGCACATCAATAGGTTGATCGAATCCCTGTTTGTTTTCTAGAAGGGCATTTTGGCAAATGATGAAAATCCTGACTTTTTGGCCAAAATGACAAGGGGTTAGCTCACCATTTTTGCAAATAATTTGAACATTTTTCATTATTTTTTATTTGGTCTCAATGTACTTCCCTGCACATCATTAGGTTGATCAAACCCCTGTTTGTTTTCTAGAGGGCGTTTTTGGCAAATTTTGGCAAATTTTGGCAAATTTTGGCAAATGATGAAAATCCTGACTTTTTGGCCAATATGGCAAGGGGTTTGGTCACCGTTTTTGGCATCATTAGGTTGATCGAACCCCTGTTTGTTTTCTAGAAGGGCATTTTGGCAAATGATGAAAATTCTGACTTTTTGGCCAATATGGTCACCATTTTTTCAAAAAATTTGATCGAACCCCTGTTTGTTTTCTAGAGGGGCGTTTTGGCAAATTTTGGCAAATGATGAAAATCCTGACATTTTGGCCAAAATGGCAAATACGCCGAGTTTAAAACCACTATTCATAGGAGTCATTTGTCAATCTTTCTCATCATTACCTTTTTTTGTTGTTTTACTTTCCAGGTATTTGTCGGATCTTTGAAGAGCATCTGAAGGCAATACATCCAAGTAGTCCATCAATAACGTATGACATCAGTGAGCTATTTGAATTCATTGATAAGATGCAGGATCTCTCATGCCTGGTGTAAGTAGACAAATGTCCAAATTGGCAATGCTGTGACGTATTTTGCGAGGTCCTCTTCAATTTGCTAAGCACAGAAAATTCCATAAACTTTCATTTTTGTAGTTATTGATGATTGACTAGATTTTTTTTGTTGTATAAAAACTCATTTGCAGTTAGAGTGCATGAATGAAAAATGTCTTTATTGAGAAAAGAAATTTCTGATTTCTGCTTCTAATACAACTAACTTAATATCAGTGTGGACTCCTTCTGATTGTATTTATTATTAAATAAAAGTCTCTTGCCAGCCAGTTATATATTTTCCTTGTAATTCTAACACCTGCCACATAAAGGACCAGTTTCGTAGTGTGTTGGGGTTGGGTGCCATTCACCTGTTGGGAGTGGCTGTGTTTCGACGGGCGGGATGTGAGTTGCGTGCATTGGTTGTTGCTAGGTTGGGCGAGCTCTAAAGTATTGCCAGCCTGGTAGCGGCTATCGTGTGCAATTGGCATTCTGGCTGTTGGGAAACGTGGAGACTGGTTTATTACTTTTCAGATAAACGGATCTACATGTGTCATGTACATCTTCTCCCCCTTCCTTATCCTTTTCCTTCCCTCTATTTATATCCTCTTCTCTCCTTTCCCTCCACCGTTACCACCTTTCGTTCCCATCTTTCTCTCTCTCTCTCTCTCTTCTTACTATTTTGCTCTTCAATCTAGTCTCCTCCCGACCTTTTCTCTCTTTCTCAATCTTTAAATGTCAACTCATTTCTTAGGCTTTCCCTATTATTACGTAATTATGTACATTATGTGACTTATTGTTGCTAGGTTTATCAATTATTTTGTAACTACATTGTATTTTGTATGTTTTGAATATGGATCAATAAAAGAATCTATCTATCCTTCAATTTTCAGTCTGGACACGGAAACTAAATGCCACTACGTACCAAAGAACAAGTTCTGGATCAAGGAGAAGATCTACGTCACTCTGAGCAAGGAAGCAGCCTAGTAGCACCACTCACTGTAGGACGGATGATGATGCTGCCTTCTATCTCTTTCTGTTTGTAAATATGTGCATACATGTACAGTTTTTTTATAAGATGAAGTAGCTTAAGAACAGACTAGCTGTGATAGTGTATTATGAACGAGATATTTACAGAAGCGTTCCCAGATGGAAGCGGTTAATAACTAAAGGCCTTTTAGATCTTGTTATCAAGAATGCGCTGTTTACATCCAGGTAGTCGAAACTCTTTGTTTTGATTTCAATTAACGCCCGCTCTTTGCATGCGGTCAAATAATGACCTCATTTTCATGCAAATCTTTTTCACAAAGATCCCAAGTTGAATTTAAAAATTATGGAGAGCCATTTGTAGCCCTAAAGCTTAGACCACACTGACAGGTGGCTATCTCATCAACTCGGCTCTCAAATAAGATAAGAAATAGAGGATCATGGGCGACCAAGTAGGACAGTGGGGCTTTAAAATAAAATATATTCAAAAACGACTTTTTATAACAGAAAATATGAATTATTTGAATCAACATTAAATAACTTTTACAAAATATTTTCATAGATGCTAATGGCTTTCCAAAAATGCTAAGTCCAAGTTACGATCTTTGTGAAACATCCCCCTGGTCTGGATATTGGTTGAGGATACAATAAAGTAGGTTTTACTTGAAAGAGAAAATTTGTTCATGTTCTTAGAAATCAATCTAATTATGGATTTATATTGGTGAACATTATTTGATCAATAACTTCATTTTATTGGGAGGCATTTGGAGTATATATACATGGAGCATTACTAGTTCCACCAATGGCAAGTGAAGTCATTTTGTTTTAAATCACTTTTCATGTGGTTTCTGTTTGAAAAATGCCAGGTACTTACAAAGTTTTATTTAAATTTTCGAAATTTTGGTCGTGATTTTAGATATTCCTGCATAAATAAATTGTGCTCAGATCCCCATTGGTTTACGTGTTTTAATTCGGCATATCTCTATATCTATACTATTCGCATCAAATAGTACTACCGATTGTGAATAGTTTTAGGTTGTTCCTTGTTACTTTCCAGTTAAGCCAGTCAATATTTTTATTGTTATAAAAAATCAGACATCTAGAGCAAATACATAAATCATCCATGTCAAACTGTGCCTGTGGTGTGATTATTACGTCGCAATAGAGTGCACAGGTTTAATAGATGTGCAATGAAAATGTCAATATGAGACTATATTTTCACTCGTCTCTACGGGGCGACCAAGAATGACCAGGGTAATATACAAAACCGTATTGCCCTAGTTTTCATCAGCAGTGGTCTCCCTGCCCATAGAGACGAGTGAAAATATAGTCTCATATTGACCGCGCCGTATTTTGTCATTTTCATTGCGCATCTATTATGCGTACGAGAACCTGCACTTCGCAATAATCACACCAAATGCACACCGTTTGCAGTGTATTGAAAAATTTCGTCAAGCACTGTTCAGTTCTTTGAGATTGTCATGGTGGATGTCTGTAATATTACCTTCTAAATTACAAGGCGATGCCCTACCACAACAAATCAATGTTATAAGATTATTGAAGACACCTCCACACAAGGCATCATTTAACCAGAGATGTACAGCCCTACATGTTATCAGTGTAATGCCCTGTACCAAAAATATTGCTTTTATCCAGCAAGTAACCTTGCCTTTTTTAGTTTAAAATGTCTTAATGTTTGGCACGAAGGATTCTTCATGCCGATCTGAATAAACAGTGATTTTGTAATGAATTCTTATGTGTCATTATTTAACTATTGATATATTAATGATTAAACAAAGTTGAATTAAAATCAAAACATGTACATATTTATTGAAATAAGTAAAGGGCCCCGTCTTGCAACTCTAGGAAGATTGAAATGGTTATCTTCCTTGTCTTTCAGAGTAAACAAATATGTATTTGACAGGCATTAACTCTTATCATAGGCCCAAAACATGCTATAATTTAAAGGAAAATTGCATTGGTTATTCAAAAACAAGATTTTTTTGGTGATCTCAATTCTGTAAAAAAATGTGGGAGTTTTGTGTCAAATTTGCTTTATGGAACTCAAAGTCAGGTTGCCATCCAAAAGCCCATCAAGTTTCCAATAATCTTTTTCCTAGTAAGACTATTTTTGGACACCTCAAATATTTGACTTTCATATGTTATAAGTTACAAAATCAATACACATTCTTAAGAGCACCATATACATGTACATGTTAACATTTAAAAACAGTTAATTCGTAATACAATTCAGAGGCAAGATAGTTGTATCATTCTAATACAATTTATCATAAAATGGCTACAAATTAAGACTAGTTAATTGAATAAAATTGCAAAGCTGTGACACTACAGATACACCATCAATGCTCAAAATAGGGAAAACGTTTTTTGAGCAGTTTAAAGTAGGTTTCCATGTTCTGAATACCTTTGAAAAACTTTAAAAACTTCATTTATGAACCTGAAAAGACATATCACCAAATAAAAGTATTTCAGAATGGTTTTTATCGGGCTGATATTGCAAAAACATGAAGCAAATTAGTTTAACCTCTCATTAACATCAATTATATGTGGGGCAATAATGGTAATCCAAGAGGCTGTTCACACCTGCAGAGAAAGCTCTGCGGTTTGGAAGGTACAACGTCGTTTCGGTCACAGCGAGCCACGGCGAGCCAAAACGAGAGAGAGCGCGGTTTAGCGCGCGCTAGAAAAAAAGGGGGTGCTACGATAGACCGCGCTATCTCATTGCGGTGTGAACAGCCTCCAAGCTAATATTTTGCAATCATAATAAATTTCTTATATACATATAAAAATCTTCTACAATTTTGTTTTATAACTACTCATATTTCCTTGCATACATGGACATGGTGGGTTGATTGTAGAGGTAAAAATGAAACACGAAAAAAGTAACTCTTAAATCAAGGTCATCCCATATTAATACCAATGATAATGTCAAAAGGATGAGTGAAGCAATCTGTGTTGCAATCAAGTAAGAAATACTTGAAACACAACATCAAATTTTGGGGGGAAAGGCAAGTGAGATGAACCAGGCCTGATAAAAACCTGATTTAAATCGTTTTTTTTTTTTTATCAGATTTTTTCTTCTTCCCGATTTACCCCTTCTTTTCTCTATTGTTCCCTATTTTGCCCTATTTTTCCCCAATTTTCTTACTCAAAAGGGGGGAATGTCGTTAGATGCCATTTTTTCCCCACGAATCCTTTTTTTTTTCTTCTTCTTTACTCAAGGGGGGCGTGGTTGAGGGGAAAACAAAAAAAAAACTTTTTTTTTTTAGTGCTCACTATCACCCCTGATGAACACATATTGCTTGCCAAGTCTTTAAAGCCGAATTTTTTCACACAAGGAGCCATAAACTTTACCCAAAATAAAATGCTCCTCTAAAATGAACACAATTTTACACATCATTTTACATGAATGACAATCGGAATGAAAAGGAGATTCCCACAGCAAAGCGTAATTATTGATCTATAAATGTGAAGTTAGGGAAATCTGAAATGCACAGGACAAAATTACTCATGTCACACTCAATTGCAGAAAATAGTCAGCAGACATGGAAACTATTTGAATGACATTACATTAAAAGCAAGATAAAAGCATGAATGGAGAAACATCAGAGAAAAATATACTTCTAAATTTCATATATATTACATTACAGATTAAATAATACATATCAGCAATTAGAAATACTTACATCATTATTGATCTTTTTAAAAATCCTTTTCATGACTCACGGCCAAAACGGCTAAACAAATTTGATTTTCACAGAGTAATGTACTGACATACAGGCACATGAAAGTCTCCAAATGCATGTATTTATCTTCAAACTTATTCTTAAAATCAATATACCCTAAAAACAACATTGTCAACAGAATCTGTCAAAAGGCAAGCAAATTTATGATTGTAATTGGCAGATACCGGTACTGCAACTGAACATGTTCTAGCAGAATGCTGATTTCTTTTCAGGATTCTGAAATTTTGTTACTAGTGAGAAAATACAGGGTAATTGAATATGACTACAAAGTTTTAAGAAAAAAGAAAAATTGTGTGTCATTCAAGGTTGTAGTACAGAAGTCACTAATAATTTTACATTCAGTTTTCTATTTAGGTACAAACATGTAAGTAAAGTTAAGTATTATACAATGGAATGAAACATTTTTTGCATCATAAATTGTGACAGATCATCAATTGAAAATAAATTCATAAACTGGCATAAGTATGAAAAATAACAAAGAGGAAGAAAATAAGCGCATATCCATAACGTGTCAGAAAAAAAAAAAAAAAGTATTTTAGGTTATTTCAAAATGATTATCTTACAATTTTTTGCGATGGTGCTTAAGTAGTAAATAGGTAACAAATTTCAAAAAAATATAATGGCTGTTTATAAAGTACTATCTACTAAAAAGTGAATGAGGGTAATAAAAGGACAAGTCACACAATACATACATGTACACTAGCAACTTCAGTTCTTATAGATTCCATTCATAGTTGAATGAGTATAAAATACCCAGGATGTTCACTTCATGATGTCTGTTTGGAGCCAGAAGGGTAATAACTCTGTAAAATTCATGTGAATTATTGTCCGTCTGGCTTTAGGTAGAGAATATAATCGGTGTATCACGGGACTGACTGTTCTAGGATTTCAAATAACATCTATTTTGCACCCCCCCCCCCCCCCCAAAAAAAAAGAAGACTTCTTTGCAATGAGTGTCCCTACTTCAAAACAGATAAAATTGCATAACACACAAAACACAAAAAATTTCAGTTTTTCAATTAAAAAATGTTCAAGAACGTCTCCCCACAGCATCCCGAAATTATGATTTGGAAGATTTTGCACATTCTAAACCACCCATCATTCGGTTTCTAATATATGGATCTGCTAAAATAAATTCAGATGGCCTGAAAAGGGATTCTTTCTCAGTGAATTTCATGTGTACAGGCGTGATACAGGTGAACTTCCCTGGGTAATATGCCTCTATAATACAGCAGCCACAAAAATATATAGACAGAGACCGCACACACACACATACACAATCTCACAAGAAGGATGAAAATGACAGATGCTTGGTCGATGTACCACAGCACTTATTTTCTTCTTGTACATCAACTTCGTAACTCTCTTTGTTTTATACAGATTTTGATAGAAAAATACAAATGCTGAAAGGGGGAAGGTAAAAGTGGAGTGGGAATGTAACCCCGGGATACGAAGGCAATTCTTAGATGGTGTGATGAACGTGATGTCAGTGAGCGATGTTGGACATTGAAAATTTAAAGTGTTGAGTGAGGGAACGTTGATTGCAGGTCTCGACGACGAGGCCGTGTTCTTTATGGCCCTTGCTGTCTAAACATAGGTCGGAGTTTTGGAAGCGGAACGTACGCTTGTTGTCTGTCTGGTCCCATTTCTGTAGAGAGGTGAAAAGAGAGAGAGGGAGAGAGAAAGTAGTTAAATACAGGGGTGATAGTGAGCACTAAAAAAAAATAGGTTTTTTGTTTTCCCCTCAACTACACCCCCTTGAGAAAAAAAAAGAAGAGAGGATTCGCGGGGAAAAAATGGCATTTAACAACATGCCCCCACTTTCGAGTACGAAAATGGGGAAAAATAGGGCAAAATAGGGAAGAATAGAGAAAATAAGAGGGATCGGGAAAATCAGGATAAAATAGGGAAGAAAAAAAAAATTGATTTTTTTTTTTTTTTTTTTTTTTTTTTTTTAAATTGGGAAGAAGAAAAAAAATCGGGAAAAAATCGGGAAAAATAAAAAAAATCGGGAAACCGATTTAAATCGGGTTTTATCAGGCCTGTAAATATCATTTTAATATCAGGGTGGAGCAAAGAGGAAAATAGAACCCAAAGGCTCAGTTTTGCTGCATCATATTTGAATGAGGCTTAAGAGGAATCATTGTAGGGTTAGGATATTAAATTGTAAAATTCTACAATGAAACTGGAACCTATTTTTCAAAAGAACATTCATACACATGATTAATCTAAAACCATACCACAGAAGTGTTTTTCTGATGACCATATTTGTCTTTCAACTGCATACCAATGAGGCCTATATTTTTAAATTTCTAGTCACCTCTCACATCCATGAACTTGTGGTGGTGTAATCGGATGTCAAACAATCTTTTGCTTTTATTATACTTTCAAACAAAGAGGTAGTGCTACTGGGGGATGGGGGGGGGGGGGAGGGTTGTACGACAAAGACACTTGCTCCGTGGTAATATCCCACACCTACCAAAACTCCCACTCAGGAACCAACATCTAGCCCTCATATTTCAACGACACAAAGCTCGGAGCAAATGTTGAGGCATGCCCCCATTCTTAGAAAGCCCTTTTTTGCTTCTGATGTCACTTTTCCTTTCCGCTAATAACACTTTTTTTGTTGGTGCAGCCCCCTCCCTCCCCCTTCACCCCGAGAGAATGATCTCCCAGCCAAGATTGGACATTGCATATATCTCACCTGGTTAACATTATGAGGCTGACAGCCTTGTAGTGTAATAGGTGTCCCTGATTTCCTGTCTGTGACTGTTAAACACAGATCTGAATGCTTTATCAATTTATCCTTTGTAAATGAAAACTCCTGCAAGTATAAAATAATAAAAACACAAAGATCCAATTAATTACATAGAAAGACTTCAACAAGAGTAAGCAATCATTTCACATGAACAAAAAGGTTGATTAATTGGTGTCTGCCTGCAACTAGTTGAAACACTTTACTCACCAGTTCTTAGATATTAAAATGTACCACCAATCGCCAAAAATTATTTTGTTCTGTATGCTACGGGTTCTATGTGGCTATACTGAATTCAAAACATGAGCTTAAAATATTTCTCTTATAAAGAGATACTGCACTTTTAAATACACTCTCGATGAACATAATAAATAATCGTCAGTAGACTGCTTCACACGTTCATATTGCTCTCCCATTGAACTCGAGTCCACCATGAGATTGATCCTAGAAATCGAAGCTGTACACAAGTTATTCTTTTAAGGTGATTGGTATACTTCAAGCACTATTTGCATATTTAACAGCATCAACTTTTTATCCCCACACATATAACTCAAAGTGCATACAATGCTATAATGAGGTAGTTTTCGAACTTCGTCAACTGAAAAAATAAGAAATAATTTTGACCAGATTACATAATACACAGCTCTAACAAAATAAAGTACACCTGTACGAGAAGCTGGACGGAACTGAGATCTATCTCACCTGATTTCCTCCACTATTATGACAGTCATAGAGACCCAGCGTTCCTTGATGTACATGGCCTAGTGTATCCATACACATAGAACCTTGTTGTATTGAACCAAAGGCTATATCTTGTTTATCTGGTACTCTGCAATCAAAACAAACAATGAAAGGAATACAATTTTTAGAGAGATAGGAAATTACATGTATACTTTGAATATTAAACATCTCTACTGGGGATTAAAGTAACATCTGGGCCCTGTAACACAAAGATCTACCGGTACTTACAATCAATCATGAAACAAATCTATTTTATCTTCAATCTTACCATGCATTGCATCTATCTGTAAAATATAGTTGATTTTAAGTTGCTATTAATTATAAAGTTCCGGCTGAATGAAAGAGATACAATTAATTATATTATACGGCCCAGTTTTAAGTCTCAACAATGTATGTATGGGAATAGAATGTAGCATGAAGTGACTTATCTCCATTCTCTCTGGAATAATTATTCTTATACTATAACACAATCAACAGCTTAATTCAGCATAAAAATCTGACAATTTGGGGAAATTTTTACATTCAAGAGGGAGAAAATGAAAGATACATGCTTCTATAGGCAAAATTCTTCTGTGAGAGCCACAAGAGTTTGAACAAAATACGAATATGGTTCTATGCAGACTTAATAACCTAATGTGATATCACAATACCTTCCCACTATATGGCTATGACACATTAAATTTGTTCAGTATCAAAGAGACGAATTGATAAGCAAATTATATACATGTACATGCACGTAAGAAAGAATAAACCAAAGATTCTTAAAATACAAAGTAAGAATTTATATAATTTACTAGACAGTGTCGCTCTTATCTAGAGGATTAAAAAAAAAAACTAAATTGAATTATTGATCCATTACCAACCACCCTGCCCACACTACAACGTCCAATCGTGACTTTTGACTCCTCTCAGCCACTGGCATACAGGACATCACTTTTTCAAGGTGCAAATTTCAAACAACAAGGTGGAGAAAGGGCCCACAAATGTGAGGAAGCTATTGTTCCCTCACTTTCATAATCACCCTTCAATTTAACCCAGTATTCAAACAACTGCTTGCCTCAAACTAATCTAATACTGAGAGGGGAAATTTCATGTTAGTCAAGTCTCCTCACATTCAAACCAAAAACCTGAAATGATCGCAGAATAGAGAAGAAAAAACACAAACAGAGAAATGATAGCAAAATAGATGAGAACGCAAGATTAACACTCCTCTCCCTACAAGGCAGCACTTAAACACAGATAATAATCGCAGAATGAGCACCTTAGAATCGTCTTTTCATCTTGATTAAAAAAGCAATCGATGCCTTCAGCCGTACAACCAAGCATGTACGGCAACCCTTTAATAGGATTACCGCGATGCTAGCCTGCTTATATTTTGTTATTGTATAATATTACACTATTCCTGCAGGCACTTGTTACATGTTCTATTCATCTGGCCACGCATAGGCGGCGTCGATGAAGGCATCGATGAGGGAGAGTGAGACGAGACTGATCAGGGAGCAAGAGCAGGGCTGGCAGGTGTTTGTATTCTGATAGCATTGATCAGGAATACAAGATATTTGTCACGATCCAAATTATGCATAAGAAGAAGCACCATCGTGAGTGTGAGCTCTTTTGCTCCTTCCAAATTACACAGTTCAAAATATTGAAAAATACTTCGTCTTAGTATTGGGAGGCAGCTGTTTGATATTTTTAATTGTACAATGTCTAACAAGTTTTAATTTAACCTACTTTGTTCTCAAATAAATATTTCTTTTAAAATTACATTTTCTAGAGAAAAATATTCTATTTTCTCTCTCTAGATATATTTTTAATCTTCAGATTTTTCCACAGCTCCTTACAGTTTCCCGAATCTCATTTGCTCCTCGGTTCTGGTATAGGTTTTCAGTACGCCAAACTCATCTCCCAGTTTTTCAACTTTAGAAATATGTTTTTTTAATATCTTGAAATGGGGCTAATTTTGATACATGCACATCAATTGAAATCCTGTAATAATAAGTGACATTACCAAATGAATGTAAAATGAGGGATCCTGAGGACAAACAAATCATTTATTTAAACGAACAGATTCCCGCATAAAAATGAATATATCGAATTCGATATTTCTTCTTTAAACTAGTGATAAATGCAAAAAAAATAATGACCGCTTTCAGTCGAGTTGTAATTTGATATGACCTATCATTTAATAACAACATTTCCTCGTCTGCGCTAATGGCCCAGTAAGATCTAAAATAACGGTCATGTTCCTGTTTTATACTTGGCTCCGAGGCCTCCTGCACACAAGACAATTAAGGGGGGGGGCGAAAATGAACTGAAGCGAAATAAAAACAATTGTAGTCCGTATTCTACTAAAGTTCAAACCTACCAATGAGTTTAACAAAGGAATTTTGACCGATGTTTGATCTAGTCTACTATTTTCTTTGGGTTTACATGACTTTAGTCCTCGTGTCCAGTTTAACAGAATAGCAGAATAAAGATAATTAGGTTTAATTAATGGCAATTGGCGTTTAATTGAGCAGCTACACGCAACAACACTCCCCATGCATATTCACTTATCTGTTTATCATATGATACAGAAATGGATAATTCCATGCAACGTGTCATGTATAACACATATCTGTGATCCAAGTATTTCATCCAAATGTGAATAATATCTCGATTGGACCATTTAATCTTGTCAGTTATACCACAATGAACCATTAATCAATGGCCATATCAAGAGATTTTCATTTCTGGATGAAACGATTGGACAAATGTCATACACTATATGGGACGTTGCAGAACAGACTTGCCCAAATGTGAAGCAGACTACATTAACAAGTTATTTAAATTTGCTGGCATTTGGGTGGTTGACCATGTTGTGTATGAACAAGGCCTAAAATCGGGGTCAAGAATACCTGCATGCAGACGAACGTCAACAGCCCTTCTTTCCAAAGTGGAGTACCCGCAAGCGAGTTTGAATCATGCCACCTCCTTGCAAGCAGATCTCTATTTCTTCTTTCATGACCCATTTGTCTCACATATTATTTCTTACAACATTCTTGAAACCTCTTCCCAACACTTACGATCTCTTTTTTGTTTTGTTTTGTCTGAAAGTCATTTGTTTTGTTTTTACAGTCATTCCCCCTTTTCTTCTCTTCATCTCTCTTCTCCTTAAAACCATGTCTCTTATTCTTTCCCTTTTTCTTCCTAACTTTCTCTCACTCTTTCTCTGTGTTTGTATTATATCTTCAAGCTATTATTCACTACTTCATTTTTACAGGTCCTATGACTTCGTAAGTTAAACAAATTGTCAAAGATCTTGCCATGAATATCTGAGCAGGTTGTTTTTCCAAGCTCTAAAAGTGCTAAAGTCCCATCTCTCTCTTCCAATCTGCTCATCCTCTCTCTCTCTCTTTAGCCATTTTATTTGCCTCTCTTCCATAATTTAGACATCAAACCCACCTGAGTAATCTTCACGCTATATTTAATTACTTATTTTTGTTAAGTCTTCTAGCTATGTGCCTGTATGTGACTATCCAATCAGAATTCTTTCTTATTTCCTTCATATCTGTCTGCCTGTTGTCTATCTCTCATCTAATCTGCCAATACTTCTTTCTTTCTGATCTTTCTTTTTCCTTTATTTATACATCCATTCTCCTTTCTCACCTAATTTGCCATTTCACACATACCTCAGTAATCTTCACACCATAATTAATCACTTGAAAGTCTTGTAGCTCACACAATTGGTAAATTGTATGTCCTCCTGTGCCTAGCAATTCTGCCTGATCTTCACAATACTTCAAGTATTCAACATCTCTTCTCTGCCTATGTCTCTGCCTATGTCGCTTCCAATCTCCCTCTCTCCCTCTCTTTCCTTTGTTTATCCATCATTTCTCCTATCTTCCAGAGTGTGTCACTTCAAACACACCTGAATAATGTTGCTTTTGTCATAATTTTCCAAGTGTACAATATCTGCCTCTATTCCTCACGCTCCATTCACCTTTCTCTTCCATCTTTATTACTTTCTCCTCTTTTTGTCTATCAATTATCCCATCTCCCCTATGTCGTCACTTCTAACACACCTAGTAAAAAATTTCTCCCACTGTTCTATAAATGTTCGACATCTCCCAACTTTCTGTCTGCTTCTCTTCCATCTTCTCATTCTGACCTTTTCTTCAATCTCTTTCTTTCTCCTCTGTTTGTCCATCTCTCTCTCTCTCTCTCTCCATCTTTCTCCTGTTTATCCATTGATTCTCCTATCTCCTTCAGCTTGTCACTTCAAACACAGCTGAGTAATTTTCACACATGTGCTCAACTTTAGGCATCCATGAAGGGGCTCCCAATCTAATGTTCTGCTTGCATAGCTTCAGACTAAATGTCCCAAGCTACAATCCCATGGGTAGGTGCCTTTTACAGTACACTCACACACTCAAAAAGTTTTTCCTCCTCTCTCTATCTCCCTCTTTCTCTCTTTCTCTCTCTATCTCTCTCTATCTCTCTCTCTCTCTCCCTCTCTCTCCTTCTCTCTCTCTCTCTCTCTCTCTCTCTCTCTCTCTCTCTCTCTCTCTCCCTCTCTCTCTCTCCATGTCCTCTGTTGAAGGCCAGAGGAACATTAACTCATAAGCTTTTATATAGAGTTAACATCAACTTGGCTTGCAGCAGACGATGTGACATGCCCAACTAACGGCAGTTCACACGGCTAAACTGCCAGTCGCACAAGGACCAAATCAAGTATTTTTCCTTTAACATCAATGTAGAACAATGCATGCCACATTAACTTAAAATAGTGGCCTACATGCTGATCACTTGTAGCTGAATGAATATCTGAAATACATGACAGGATGTACAATACTTGTATCTTATTTCTGCCCTCAACTGCAAACAGACGACAAATTTTAAAAAAAATGCCTAGTGACCTTTATTTGACCAGCTAGTTGGATTTCAATCAAACTATCATCGAGTAATTTGGGTTTCAACTGGAGGAAGATTCTTCCTTTTTAGTGATACTCATCTCGTGACATTTGAATCTTATCAATAGTATTTTTTTCTTCAAAACAAGCACACTTCTTTTTTATCCACTACTGCTTGCAAGTAATTTGAACCACACAGATTCCTTCATGTGGGAACAGGCCTAGTACCACACTCGACAACATGGCCGGATGCCGAGTACTCATGACTTGCAGTGGTGCAGGCAAGCAAGCAAGAAATCCCACTTCCGGCCATGTTCTTGAATCTTGAACACTTTACTTCTACTTTGAAAGGGACTCACCTTAATTCTGGATAGACGTTTTCAAGGTACCATTTAAAAGGCTTGCAGTGGAGTTTTTCTCTTAGTTCTGTCCTTGCCTGGATACTGTCAAGATGACATTAGAAGAAATAACAATTAAATGTATTAATTAGATGGCTGAGCATGTCAATTACTCTTTGCACTACAAATGTTAATGTACACAATATCCCCTTTTGTTTTGGCTGAGAAGGTTTCAACAGTTAATCAGTAATAATATACCTGTTGCACTGTATCATGAAACTGAAACTATAATCAATGAATTGTTAACTCCATTTCTGTAAACAAAACAAGCAATAAAAAGGAACTTTGTTGCGAGTAAAAAAAAATGTCAATACATGACATTACTTGCATATCTTATGTCATCTGCTAAGAGTCAGGAGTGCATTCAGTTTATGTGAAATTATTTAGTTAGGCCTTGTTTAGATATGAAAACTGCAGCATTTTTTATAACAACTAAGTATGTTATGCTCCATATTGCCAATCTTATAACACAGACCTAAATAAGAGAATATGCGTAGGTCCTTTGTTTGCACACAGTTTCAACAAACTGGTGTAATTCTATTTGATGATGTGGTTTTCTAATCCATATCTGATCAAGCCCTTAATGCCCTTCTTGCTCTTAGCAGACAATGTCTAGTAATAGAGTTTCTACTTACTTTCCAAAGGGGACATTTCTTGCAGAAGGCACTGCAGCATAATAAAATTCTCTAAATTCATCCATCCATACTTCAGCTGCTCTTCGTGTGTTTCTGCAAGGACACAAATGATACCAGATTTGAAACACTTTTCTTGAAGGGATAATGAAATCCAACCAACATTAGTTGATAATCTTACTCAATATTTGACTACCTTAACATGGAAAACAATCTCTCAAAACTTTCTTTGCTTGCCATTTTCCCATGAGAGTTGCTAGCATAATTAAAATAATGATGTCTAACATGTGAGGTATCCACTAACCTGTATGTTAGCTACAATGTAGGATATTCACCCAAGGAGTGCATACCACAGGTTTCCTAATAATAGATCATTATTCAGATTAATGGATATTCTCTCATAACATGTGGTGGCAAGATATTTGGTTCAGCTGCTTTCAACTGTTGAGCAGTTTCTTTAGTTCTTTTGATAAGCAACATTTGGCATGCATTTATAAGTGGTTGCTTGGTCAGACAAAGCTTCCCCACTTATTCAAAGAGTGACAAAGATGTACATAGAACTGCTCATAAAAAGCACCTGCTTGACATGCCAGAGTAACAAGATGGCTGCCATTGATACCAAATTTTGTATTAATGGCCAGTCATTATGCAACATATCCATTATATGTACATGTAGGTCAGTGGATATGTAATAATCTGACATCACTATTCTAATCAAGATGGCAAGCAATGATACAGCAAAGTTTGGAGGGGTAATTTTCTTTGTTAGGTTATCAAATAGGAGCAATTTCAAGAATTTTAAACTAGTTTTGTTGGATTTCATTCTCCTTCAAAGATGGAAAATAGAGGCATGCTCTTTAATACACTTATTATGGTTTATCATTTTCATATACAACTTTACAAGATCATGAAAAAGGTCAAGGATACCACATTCTGTGTTTCAATTACGGTCAATGATTTAAACAATGTCTCTTTTAATATCTATTTTATGAATTGGCTTTAAAAAGATGAATAGTAGTGGTGAACTCTCTAACAGTAAGATGTCTAGACATGTTAATAATAAAAAACAAAAATCATTACACTGATAATCATATCAATGAAAACATACAATTAAATGATATATATCATCTATGATTTAAGCTTTCAACAAACTTCAGTCTGTGATTGCAATGAAAGATCCATCAATGAAAATTAAGAAAACAGTTTTCTAAGAAAGAAATGACTGTTCCTTTTATATATTCTGTCTATGATGGCTGACTGAATTTCTCTTGTTCATTATTTTTTTTAAAAGGCACATCACATACCTCGCAAATACATTTCCACTTCCCCCTGGGAAGGTGTAAGGATGCTGTTTTCGGAAGACGTGTCCCACTCTACTGCAAGGAATGATCTCTAGACTACCCCCACACTGCCACACCCTAAAGGAAATTTCTGTAGGACAAAAAAAAAATAAAGTTAAATACATGTATCAAAGGAAGAGTAAAAAAAAATTGATATACATACACAATATTCAGAGAGAAGAAAGGGTGGGGGTGAGTGTGAGATGAATAGAGAACGCCAAGAATACAAAAAGGCTATACAAAACAAATGTAAGACAAAAGGAAAAATAAGGAGCACATTGGAGATTGAGAAAACCAATTTAGGATTATTAAAGAAGACTAATACAAACTGTAAGTTAAATATTTAAGAGAGGAGTGTTAATAAAATACAGTAGAATAAATAAATAAATGTACAAGTTGAGAACAGCAGTGAGAGAGAAATATAGGAGATAGGAGTTGATATATCAAACATATTGTAGAATCATTTTTATATCATCTGCAGTTGATATTAATAAAAACTTGCACGGCACTTTTTATATTACCTGCTTCCACTAATCATAACTTCCCATATTTTACCATTTGCTAAAGAGCCCCTTTTTATGGAGAAAAAAAAAATCCAAATTGGAAGCAAATGGTCTTACATTCTATACACACGTACATCATCATCATAGCTACCCATTATCATGCATGTATTAACGGCAGCCACAACAAAACCCGGCATGCACGCATGAGCCATGCTCTGTCATGCTGGAGCCTATCCCCCACTGCTCAATAATTTAGCAGCACTATAAAAAAAAGGGGGGGGGGAGAGACTGGCAAGTCACGCAGACTTCATCAATAACGTACTTACGCATGACTCTCTTCAATTTTCAAGCTACTAGATAACTGGGAGAAAAGTTTGGGCTGGTAGCGCTAGAGGGACCCTTGGGTCAATGGGTAATTTAGTCCCACGCAGGTTTGGTGCACTTTATGTGCATTAAATATTAACTCTATCATTAGACCAACAAGCAAGCTGGCTAGTGGACATCAATCTTTAAAGGGAGATGGTCGTTCCTTAAATACATTAACTCCTCATTACCACTTTTGGACGCGATTAAGGGCAATCATATCATAAGAAAATGTTACATCATGATCTTATGTTACTGAGCTTAACACCATTTTAAAACTATTTCTGAGAACTGAGGCATATCATATTAAAAAATAGATTGACTAAGGTTGAAATTGGGGTGTCTCCCATTACTGAGCATAATAGAAAATGTCACCCTGTGGAGATGAGTAACAAGTTTTCCTAAAAGTGTATTTAAGATAAACTCCCACGTCCTCATTCAAGCCCATCTACCAGGTATCATCATTAACCGTTTTCTCTTTTATGTTTAAAAGAACAAACAATAATAATAACACCAGGAAAGAGCAATACTTATAGGAAGACATAATGCATATATTAATTTACTTGTAATTTTTTAACCTAAACAAAAGAAAAAGGGAAACTGTGAAAATTGGTAAATATCTATCTCATAGTTTTAAGAACCCCATCCTAAATTTATTCAAAAAACTGAATGAGAATTCAAACTCATTTTGCACCAGGCCTTAAATTAATCGACGGCCATCGACGGCCAGGCCGTCGATGCCCCTATGACTGGCCGCGGTGCCCTCCCAAAAAAAGATATATTCACGGCCAAAAAGGCCGTGCCCTTTTTTTCAAACTGGCCGACGTGCCTTTTTTTTCCAACTGGACGTGCCCTTTTTATTTTAAATTTGCGCACATAAAACCACCAATTGCGCCCATAATCATCTAAAACTAGACGGCAAGGCGCAAGTGTTTTCCGTGAAAATGCGCCCATAAATTATTAGAACAGTAAAAATACACGAATCACGAACAGTTTGCCGCCCACGAGCTCTCTTCTAGCTTCGTATTTAGCGCTTTAATAAGGCGCAAGTGCCGTGAAAATGCGCCCTTTGTTATTATATAGGCAATGCGCTAGCGCACGTACGTACGTACGTTCATATTATGCGATCGCATGATATGCATATGGTGCATGCTGATGACGCACGCACGTACGTACAAATCGAAGGCCAGGATCAAGAAAACAAATCGTCAAATGGAGAAATAAACAAGCATTCAAATAGTCATTAGAGATCTGTCGAGGTTTGTTTGTAGGCCTAGTTTATTATTTTATCTCAAATAGAATTTAGAATTATCTTATTAATAAGTTAAGAACACCTACGATGTTCTCGATCGTAGTTACTCTCATTTTGCCACCAGCCGACCTCGCTTCAAAAAGCTACCCCGCCAGCTTCCCAAGACGAACGTTTCGAGTCCCGGTAAAATTCCGAGGGTGCATCGGTTTCGCTGGCAAACTTCCAGCCCGACAGCTTCCCACCAAAAGTGGCGAGAGTGTGTGTGCGAGGAACGATTTTGGTTTCGTGAATGCACGTTACGCAACTGAGCTGAGCGTGTCACTTTCAGCTGTCAAATGTCTATAAGGACATTTTTACATCTTATTTCATTAGTTAGGCCTATGTAGACCTTTCTATACAACAGTTAAAAAGATAATTTCTTCAAATTTGCTCCTAGAGTCCTACTACCGAGTCCGAGAGAGTGGCGGAATTAAGGTTTGTGTGTGAGGTGCGATTTTGATTTGGAATACCCGGCCCGGTAAACTTGCCAATTAAGTCCTTCTGACTTTCGATGTTTGTGAAATTGACAATTTATTTATTCATTTGCTCATCAATATTTTTAGTTACTTTAAAATACTGTTTAATGTGCAAGTTTGATGTTCTTAATCAATCTTTCCTGTTCATATTGTTAAGATTAAAAAGTTATTAAATTGATCGTTCGATCTATTCACATTATGAAATTAACATTTGTAGACTCTCTTTGAACTTATGATTAGATAAGCGGCCTATCTGTTTTTGGAAAATTGCCCCTTGCTCTGGTAAATTCCCGTGGCAAAGGGCAACTTAAAAAAAAATTGCCCCTTGCTCCTGGCTGCTAAATCTAAGGCTTGCGGGCCGCCGCCTTGTTTGCAGGCGCGTAGCCAGAGTTTGGTGTTTGGGGGGGGGGGGCACATACATGTAATCGATCGAGGTCAAAAAAAGGGGTCTACAAAATTTCAACCGATCCTGGAAATTTTAGGGGGGGCATGTGCCCCCCGTGCCCCCCCCCCCCCCCCCCCCCCCCCCCCCCCGTGGCTACGCGCCTGCTTGTTTGTATGTACCGTAGACCTCTATACATTCTGTGAAGAAGCTGGTGCTAAAAGTCATGGGAAATTGATCCTGCACAAGTTTCATAAAATACACATGACATCTAACAAAAATAGAATCAATTTTTTTGGCCTCATACTCGATGCCCTTTTTGTAAAATATTTTGGCCTCGATGCCCTTTTTGTAAAAATATTTTGGCCTTGGTGCCCTTAAAAATATGAGGTACTCGAGGCCAAACTGGCCTTGCCCTAAAAATGACGAAATTTAAGGCCTGTTGCACGGTACAAAATGATAACAACGTAAAATAGATAATCAAACCAGACTCGCAAGAAGCTAAAGCTATGATCTTAATTACCAATATAAAACATTATTCAATTAACCCCTTTCTATAATCATGCATGATTAATGATAAAAGTGAAATTGCTTACCTAAATTTTCTCCTCCCCATACATCCATCATCATATCATACTGCCCCAGCTCTTCAAACCATCTTTTGGATATAGTAAACAATCCTCCTGCAATCATTGGTGTTCTGGTCAAGGAAAGAGAAAAATAATATACTTCCAATAAATTCACATATATTATATAATTCACCAATTTATAGAGCATTCATTATATTACATTCATAATAAGACTTTTATCATACATTTGGAACCAAAAGGGCATTAAGTGGTATACTTAAACACAGGGTTAATACCCTTATGTCTCCAGAGGATATTAACCTCATACTTATATGGCTAGTTTGCATGACAAAATGGGTTTAAAAATCTGTTTTAAAGGATATTTTATTTATCTTAGTGATATTGAAGATGACAACATATCTGAAACTCCCTTGAAATTCATACACAATTCTTGGCACAACTTTCAATCCAATAACTCAATCATATATGTGTGCCCTCTCAAGAACCCTGGCTACACTAGAAGTTTACTATTTAGAGTTTTAAAACTGACACAAATAATCAGTACATGTATATCTTAAATAGCAGCCTACTCATCTCAATTATTGAAAAGTAGCAGAAAAACAAAAGAGAAAAATCTATACAATTTCCAAGAAAAAATAAAAACTAACAATGTCACATTGCAGATGTCTTGCCTTTTTTCTAGTATGTTCATCTATTTGTCCTTTTCAACAACATCTCACATTTTTTAATGAACTCTATTTTAACTCATATGTCCGTCGAACCAGTTATTGCTCTCTATCCAAAATCAATAAATGTGAAGAAATCTTAAGAACTATCTATTGAAGGTTTTCCTGTTTGTTTAATAAATGTTTGTGTGCAGATGAGTATATATATATATATATTTCCCACTCCCCCTTTTTCTCTCTCTCTCTCTCTCTCTCTCTCTCTCTCTCTCTATCTGTTTCACACTCTCTCTCTCTCTCTCTCTCTCTCTCTTACACACACACTCTCTCTCTCTCTCTCTCACTCTTCATCTCCTAGTCTCAACATACATCCCCTTCCAGCTCACCTCTCACACCAATCAATAATGCAAACAAATTTCTCTCTCATCTCGTCTTTTAATTGGTTCCTTTCGTGCCCAGATGCTAAAGACGTGGAACAGGCAAATTAATTTGCTAGACTGCATTACCCCTCGATATACCGACAGACAACTGCCACAACGGACATCAACATTCACAGAAAAGTCTCCAATCGAAGATGAAAGATCAATTTTCTAGAGCATGCCATTCCGGTCCAAAAAACATTTCGTCACTGCCTTGGCAGGTCTTGGGATGACGTCACTTTGGAAGTAAAGAGTTTACGTTTCAGAGAATACAATATATCGATTCCACCATAGAGAAGTTTCAATTCGGAAAATATCCGTCAAATCTATCCATCATTTGTTCAACTCTGGATGAACTACGTATAAAGGATTTTTAACCCATTAGCAACTAGAGATTTTGTTAAAATGGCCTTTTGCTCACTGTAAGATAAGCATAATATCATCATTTTGACATTGTTCTGAACAATATCAAACGTGTGCTATTTTCTATGCAGAATCCTACTGTAGACAATAGTAAGGATTACGCATGTATAACATTATCATGACAGACCCCATAGAACGAATACTACAGCGCGTTGAAAACGGGAAAAAACGGACGGGCAGCGGCATGTGGTTCAGTGAGTAAAAAGGAGGGGCAGTTTCGGGCGGTTAAGTTGCTAAGGGTTAAACACATTTTACAATTATTTAAAAGATCAAAACCATATATTTTCTATCAACATTTTACGTATATCGATATGTTATTTTCTTTCTGCTGGTTTTGAGGGACCTGAAGCATACTTCATAGCTTGGTACTAATTGATCATTGCTCTATTTGGTACAAATCTTGGTACAAGAAGGAATGTTTATATTGTATTAAATATGAGGGGAAAAAAGATTTTAAGCAAAAAAATATCCTCAATAACTTATTGAATTCTTCTGGCAAATTCTTAACCCCTTTTTACACTGTGGGCAGCAATTCCAAACCAAAAATTGTAGCCTGGATGAACTTTATTTTTCAGATTAAGGATAGTTTGCTTTTTTTTCTAAATGAAAAAAAATTAACAACAAGCAGTGTAAAATACTTCCAACAAATAGTATTCAATACCAAATCTATTAATTAATTCATAATTTGACTTTCGAAAGTTCAGTTTTCATTATTTTCCTCCAACATTGGTGGCAAAGAAAGGGATAACCATCTTATGACATTACTCATGTCTATGGATAAGACCAGCTTTGTCGGTGGGTGATAAAAATCATTTTATAGATCAATGCTAAGATGTGCAGCTGGTACTTAAATACAGCAATGATCAATCAGAATAATTCAGTTCAGAAACAGCTGCTTCTTTGGAAAACCGAGCAGCATTTGAAAACCAAATAAAAAACTTCCAATATATATGCTGCTTTCATAAATGGAGGACCTGAGATCATTTGCTGATAAGCCAGAAGAGCATTAACCTTGTATGGAGTTAATACCTGTCATGCTCTCTACAGACAAAATAAAGTATGATAAATGCAATCCCGAGTGTTGTCTCAGTCTTGCCTTTCTGAATCCAGAAAACGTGAACATCATTAGATGTAAAACATCATACCATAGTAAATTTGCCATCAGTTTTTGACTTCCATGGCAACATGACTTGATGGCCAATCAAATCAAGGTTTCTATGGCAATACCGCAGATGCTAATTTTAGGCAATGGGGGCCCAGATATCGTTATCTTAGCAAAGGTGTAAAAGCTTATGGGTTGAGAGCAAACATCCCAAAGCAGAGGGTCCTAGGTTCAAACAGTTTTGAAACACTAATCAATCAAAGAGGCTTAAAAACTGCTGTAGATCTCCTAATTGTTTTAATAGCAATAAATTGTTTTGTAAGCACATGTTCCAAGGCAATATTAAAAATAAACACTAAATGTGGGTGAGGGGACATGTGTAACAATTGGTATCATTTTTTACTGTTTTCAAATGTTAGTCTTCATTAAATAAATCTCTTGTTATATGTTCCCTTTAATACATACTAAACCCATTCCAAAGCAAACCTTGAATTCTGGAGCTGATGGAAATGTATTTAATGAAAATCTGGGTTAAAGTTATTCAAAATTATTTATAATGCAAAAGGTCAGCTGTACAAAACTTTTCTGTGCTCATAAAATAATGGAATTGCACATTCAGAGTTTGGTTTGAAAAAATTCTATTATCCATTATCACCATAAGCTTAGATTGCCTTTAATACAACATTTTCACTAGGTATGCCAAGAAAATCAAAATGCAAATTAGCCCAGTGTTCGCTATACCAGTCTCTGAGGAGTCAGTCCACCCCTGGAACAAAAAGTGGGTAATTGAAAGCACCGTTTCCATGGAAACTGGTATGGATGACATAAATGATGGAGCTGACAGGGCAGCTTCGAGGCCATGCATTTATAGGGCAATAGTTCACTCCTGATATTAATTAGACGAGATGCATACTGGTGTAAAGCCAGGATCGGTATGCATGCAAACAAAGCAGACGTCAAATTAATCCAACCTTGATTTTTAGCGATGAAAATTGGTATTATATACAATACCGGTAGGCACATCTGAGTCATGCATATTTCAATCAATCATTTTGAATTAAATTAGCTAAAAGTAATATTTAACTTTTGAAATCCATGCTAACTATCCGTTCAAGGAGCAGGATTTTATGGAAGTGGTGTGAAATTTCTTTATAATTTTTTTTTAATCACTACAGTAATGATTTTATACCAATTTTGTACGGTGATGGAATCAATTTTCAATTAGCCTTAGTATTAGTATTATTATTATCATCAACATCATGCAGTATTACTAACGCTATCATCAAATATCATCAAGATATTTCTTTTCTTGAACTCATGCACCTAATATGTGATGTTTCCTCTTCCATTTTACAACTAATTAATCAATGATTCCAGTACATTCATGACCATGCCAAAATGCTAATTAGACACAAACAAATTGATTTCAGTAAGTTTTACTAGAGGGCGAAGGGTGGCATAATCAACATAATTTTGCCCTGCAACTTTCTATGCACAGTGATTGGAAATGTTGGTGCAATTATCTAGATCTTAATTTCCAGAGCACATTTACATTAATTTTTTTTTTAATTCTTAAACCTCTGAAACAGCAAAGTAGTATTAGAAATTTACTATGTGCAAATTGTATTATTACTGTATATCTACGTGATACAAATAGTGCAATGAAAGGGAACTATTTGATGAAGGTCTAATTGTTGCAAAATTGCTCATCCACGCAACAGAAACAATTACTGGTAGATAGGCCAGCGGGTACATACAAAATTTAATGAATTACTCAATCTAATCATGGACCTAGATACTAAAATATGTATTACTAATTTAAGGGGGTGACAAAATGCCTCCAGTATCCATTAAAAATGACATGCAATTAGCCTGAAATGTTATCCACATTATATCCTGGTAAGGTACAATCATGATGTTATCACAACAATTTAAGTCAGTTTGTTTCAAATTCATTGATACTGTCTCTAAAGATGTAAAACCTGTTACCAAAAAATGGTATACATGTGGAGTATATAATGTTATTATGTTATAATATTCACTGATAGAATGCTTTGAATTATTCCTTGTAAGAGCTTACAAGATATGATTAAAATTCATGTAGTGTAAGCCTCATATTAGGGGAATCCAATTACCAAATGCCGTTTTATCGTAACTTAATATGCTGTCCATGTACCGCCTTTGACTGCCTGTAGTACAAGATGTCATGAATTTTGGTCAGGATTATCCTCCAAAATTATCACACAGGCGTGCTTCATTTCTACCGTAAGAGTGTTGTCTCATTTTTTTTCTTTTGACGATCTTTATGAATTCTCAAAATTGTTTTTATCACATTGACTATACCTTTGGTATATATATCAAATTATATTATTAAAATTTGAATATTTATCAAGGAGAATTTTTTTTTTTTTTTTTTTTTAAAGGTATTTAAAAAAAAAAATTTAACACACATCACAACTCCTAAAGAGCAATCGCCGACATCAACGCACATCGCATAAATCAAA